TCGAGACATCGCAAGCGATTTAAATTGAGTTCGCGTCCATATATTGACCAACCCTGGTCAATATATGGACGCGATTATTACACGTACACGTACAATATTAAGGATATGACGTTACAGACAAGTAAGATGTTATATGTCTACCTAGACTTACACCTTATGTGTAGTGTAAAGACACGTGAGGAAAAAACTAAAAATTTCGTTGCAATAAATTATCAATCTCAAAACAATGTTATATTCAAAGCAAGGAAGAGAATGTATTAATGAAGGCGTCAATGTATCTGACATTGAGCCATATATGGTTGTTCCTAATGGAAGATAGACGGAGCACTGGCTACTGGATACAATGATAAGTGTAAATTGATCAGATACAGGAATGTAGTTATTGATCTGGAAAACGGGTACGTCTTCTCTGTACTGATATTGAGATACGAGTTTATCGCTCACGTATTAATAAAACATATTGACATATTATATAATTGTATTATGCAGATACGAACAAACGGATTGTTTCTGTAAGAAATCGATTATAGAATTTTGCTTTGTATATATACAGCGTGTCGTTACCATCGCGACAATAAATGAACACCCGTCTAACGCTACTTGCCAATAATCATAAAAAAATATAATAAAAAAAATATTTTTCAAACAAACTAATTAAGTAAAAAAGAAACAAAATTTGTAACACCCCTATACAACTACAACTGACTGATTCATAGATTCAGAGACTTTTTCATTCGTTGCCACAGCGTCGCATTACAAGCCTCTCCTTCTAACAGTAAGTTTTGTCTCTTTTAAATTCATTCAACCCATTCATATGCTTTGTGACCTTTAATGGATTGAATGTAAGGATGTCCTAAATTTTTTTTTTTTGAAAATTTAATAACTCTGTAAACATTGATGTTTACATAAAGTAAATGTTTAATACAATTTTCAAAAGTTATCCTCTATATGTGTGTTTATTTATTGTCGTGATTGTAAAGACACGCTGTATATGGACATATGTAATTAGAAATATATTTGCAAAGGCATCTTAAGCAATTGACACTTGTTATTGTTTGAAATTCACCGGCCCTGCTGTAGTTGCGCCGTCAATAAAATAATAGTATACTTAACGATTCAACCTGTATGCAATGTTATAAATTACCTGAAACAAAATGAAATAATTATTAGTAAGATATATTTAAATTACTTACAAATAACATGTTTCTATTTCTCAACAAAATGACATAACCGTCAGGAGAGCTGGCTGATATTTTTGCGGAAAAAAAACCAAATATTTAATAAACATAATATGCGCATATAATTTAAAGAACACTGACCAATTACTTGTATTTACACGAACACTTTATTAAATGAAATTATTATAACTGACTTCATCTCATAATTTAAATTAAGATTCTCGACGTTGTGAACACTTAGCGGCATTCATGGTCACGTAACGGACTGAGGTGTCGGTGAATAGTTGTTTGGCTGTCGCTGTTTAATTACTTGTTAAATTTCAGCTTATGTATTACAAGAAATTGTTTAGTAATCCATGTGCTGTTATCCATGACCACGTAGTTACATTGCACTTTAGACCAAATGGCAAAAGCTATCTCAAGCACTTCCACTGAAGCTTCCACAATTTGATTTCATTTATTGGTTTGCAACAACTAATAGTTGAGAGGCGAGAAAAATTAACGAGGTACACTAATAAATACTTTTTATTTCATTTATCTATTTATATATTACACGTAGTATCACCAAAAAGCGTCGACAGTAAATATTACAATCTACCTACCTACCCGAGAAGTTAATTCTGATGATTATTTATTTCTTCAGGCTAAAATAAATAAATGATAAAAGAATTTACATCAGATTAACCGCCCGCTGGCTTTCCAACTTTTCACATACAAAAGAAGACTATATTCAATATAAAACGTTTCATTTAAAATATTATTAAATTCGTTAACAAATTATAAGAATGCGAGAAAATCCATTACATTACACGCAAGAGTCAGAATAAAGTGCGTATGTTGAAAGCTTTCGGCCCTACGTTTCTGCGCGCAACCATATCATAACACCTCTATTAGTATTATTTCAAAATCGGCATTCACCGTGTAGGAGACAAATAATTACCGCGTGGCCGTCCTTGCGCCTCGGTACTTTATGCCACCGCCCTTCTAATTGCCATAGTAGCATCACCCGATGGATGTTGACAAATCAACAATAAATCATTGTAAAGCAAAGATCGATTAGCATTCGGCCGTTTGTGTTTTGTTTTCGATAAATCACAACACAGTACAAAACAAAGTCGTCCCACTGTCTGTCTGTCCCTATGTATGCTTAGATCTTCAAAACTACGCAACGGATCTCGATGCGGGTTTTTTTACTAGATAGAGTGAATCAAAGGGAAGGTTGAAGGTTTTTATGTACAATACATTGCACCCGTAAGAATCCGGGACAGGTCGCTAGTATGTTAATATAATAAAACAATACTGTTCGACGCGTGCAAAATTTTCGCAACAGTCACTGAATTATAAGACAATAATGAGCAAAATAAGAATTTATAAATGAATGGTTGAAGAATAACGGTAAAATACAGTCTACTTCAAGATTTTTAAATAAATTGCCAATAGATGGAATTTTTATATATTAAGTAACGCACACGTAACAATATGTTACTTTGGTCAAAATAAGAAAACTCGCATTTTGTATGATTACCGATCAATCGAATATATTCGTAATTAAAATTTTACTATGTTTGAACATTGATTGCTCGTTTTGTTGGTTAGATAATGAGCTTTGTAGTATATTGCTACCACTAGAAAAACATGACTTAGTTAGCACGAACGTCATAAAGATAAAAATTGATTTCCATTACTGCAGAAAGTATTGAGTTCATGATAACATTGATAAAAAAATTGTGTATCATAAAGCAAAGAAGTTAACAATTTTTCTCTTTTTTTTAATATGAAAAGGTGGCAAGGCTGGCGGTTCACCTGATGTTAAATGATAACCGCCGCCTATTGTCATTTGCCACACCCGTAGGGCTGCAGATATATTACCACCTTATAATAAAGTTGGCCCCAGCTACCTCACCCACTAGACGAAACGCAGACGTGTAATACTTCCATTTCACGCCGGTCTTCTGTGAGGTGCAACAATCTTCGCCGGTCTTCGTGCACCAGTGAAGACTGTAGCGTGGTCCTACCACAGCCACTACCTAATACAAACAAAACTTCTTCTTAGTCGGACACTCTTGACAGAGTGGTCGTGGCTGTAGATGGACAGAATTGCGTCTCGCCGTCGCTGCTCGCTTCCAAGGTAGCCGCAAAACAATCAAAAAACAAAACAACAATCCTCTAATTTTATTAAGATACAGATAATAATTGCACACGTAGCACTACTATTAGACAGCCTTACGGATGTGGGCGTCGAATTTATTGCGACACTTGCTTTGTCCGCGGCAGCGAACAGACGCCGATCGTGGTACCACTTTCGCTGATCCGACGAATCGCCAGCACCCGATGTGTAATTCCACAACTGGTTTCGACTAACCACACAATAGCGAAAGAATCTTAGCCCAGGGTGCCCGTATCGATGCGTGATCGCTCAATTACTTTTTGAGGTGACTATACTACGGAATTGCAAAATCCATAGTACAAGTAGCGTTGCGTAATGTATTATGAAAATCTGAAGTACTACGGCTTTTTATTGTTACTATTCGTCAGTGTTGTAACTGTACCTGGCAAATCTACTTATTTGTACAATATACTAAGATATTACTGATACTATATAATATACTAAGAGATCCCTGCTGTAACTCCTGTAAATTCATCAGGCGAACAACTCAACGACTTGAACTGTACATTAGTTTTTTGCGAAACAATCGATGATGATTAAATTTGTTGGCTACCGTGATCTCTACTCAATAGAAGCTAAATAGTCTGCGAAGGAAACATTACGTTAATGTTAAATAATCAGTCTGCCTCTGATGAAATGAATAGAAAAGTCCGTTAAACCGAAGAAGTCGTTCGTTTATTTATACGTATAGAAACTGGATTTATTTATACATGCGTGCCATACAAAAGCCGTCCGATTAGCTTCCCATTAGTATTCGCGATATACGCACGGGCCTTGTGACAATGCTGCTGAGGTTGTTTCGCGTCGCTGGCGCCCGAAATGCTAATGACAGATGAATTTTTAGACGTATTGAAACCACGTTCAAGGCCGGACCGAGGAAAAGGTCGTTCGCACTCGCCATCTTGATTGCGTGCGTAAAATGGACAAATGTGGTCAAATAGTTTGACGCTTTTGTCTTACGTAAGTAACACAATCCTGTGTTGCCACAATACTTGTCAATACGTAAGAGTTCCAGATACTGAGCAATGAACTATACCTGAGCTAACTTCAGATCAGTGACTGCAGATCCCATATTGCATTTATTTGAAGGTCTGGACTTTGCAAATTAAAATTTTCCTTTTGTGTATTCTAGTACTAATGCTAATACTTATTTAATTACAAGACAAGTAACTATATGATATGTAGTAGTCATGATCACGAGACCATATTAAAAAATAAAAACTACCGTATAACAAACAAAACTAATTTAACTGGTATCCGTGTGCATGATAGCCTCAGGTTTTAACAAAACAGATTTACAACAATCCTTCTTTCGCTTTGGCAAACTTTAAAGAACCCATTTACAAATATCCGTAACAGCTAAGCACAAACAAAGGCGCGTTGACCTGCACGCCAGCGCGATAAGATTACGAAACTCTTCGGACCAGAACCTTTGCGTACCCTAAAAACGTTTACAACATAAACTTAGCAGCGTGTCGGTGAAGGAGCGAGGGCAGTAATCGACTGCATTATCGCATGACCGACCGCCAACCGAGACAGTATTCAAAATCGTGCACTCAACGTTAACGAGGCGCGGCGGCAATCAATATCAGACGAATAAGGTTCAAATCAAAGTATACCAAGCGCTTGGGGCGATCGTTCGACACCCGACTTACCGTGATAGGTGGAGGAGATTCTTGAGCGGACATCTCGCTCCACGGGCGCAGGAGCGCACGCTCTGTCTCCGCCCCCACTGAAGCGAAGCTCACGCCACACCTTCGCCACAGGGAGAACTCGTACAGCCTCCGCCATGGAACTCCGTCACTTTTCTTCTTCTTAATGCTGCCCCGAAGCGACGGGGATCGCACGAAAGGCTCCGTTGTCCTCCCGTTCTTACTGCCACCCCTCCATGGAGGTTTCGTGCCGTTGCTTGGTTTGCTCCCATTCGTTGGTGCGTTCCCAGTGGAAACTTTCCTGTGTAGTTGCGTTTTGTTCTGCTGCTGCGCTTTCTTTCTTTCGTCGCTATTCAGTTCGTCGTCATTAAAACTCTCCGATTTCACTTCTTCAATTGTTACAACGCCCGACTTCCTCTCTCTACAACTAGATCTGGAGGGTGTTCTGGTGAAGTTATGCTTCCACTTCTCACCGTCGACTTCGTCATGAAGCGATGCAATCACACCGTCGTCAGCGTATCTCATGCGCGCCGTTTTCAACAAAGACGATTTGGTGTTCTGCGAGTATAATCTTTCACCTGGCGCGGCCGTCTTCGGATCAGGCCGAATTCTCGGCGTGCTTTCTGAATCTGTATCACTGTGCCCTTCGTACGAGCTAGTGCTGTTACTGAAACTCTTGGTGAAAGATCCATTGCCCTTTGGGAGACTGTTATCGAGCTTTGATTCCTTAATTTCGATTATGCAATCGTTGCGAAACGACTTTCTCGATTGTATACTCGTATTGGAGTCGGATTTGGCGAGGGGATTGTGCTTGTGGACGAGGCAGCCGTGCGCGTGCGCCTTTCCGGTACAGTGCTTGTGAATTTTGGCCAACGTGGCCAGCGTTTTGTTCCCGCTGGGCGAAACGTCATCGCCGCAGCGTAATGACTGTTCAAAAGCGCCTTGGACGTGAAACATTCTTCGTTCAGTTTAATTATCAGTGCCGTGTGGACATTCGACTGCAGCGTACAACATTTTCAGGGGTCATAGTTTAAGTTTATCTCAGTGGACAAGGCGGATAGACCTGTACAATATTTGCGGTTATTTATTGCAGTCGTGCAAGCGGTGCAGATAAAACAGATATGATCTATCACAACATTTGTTAGGAAACTGCTGTAGATAAATCATATGAATAGGAAAAATTGAGGCTCTGACAAGAATCTAGGCTAGGCAATAATAATAATAAAACAGCAATAATCAAAAATAAACCAATTTAAGTCAAGTTATTTTTTAAATAAATAACTAAAATAACACCAAAATATCTTATCCTTTAAACGAGAAATTCTTGTATATATATATAACCGGGATTTCGGAAACGGCTCCAGCGATTTTCATGAAATTTAGTATGTGCATAGATTCAGGGGCGAAAAATCGATCTAGCTAGGTTTCATTTTTAGAAAATGTCCTTTTATCCCTGTTTTCAGGGAATGAAAAATATAATTCGAATATGACGGTAAATTTGGCCGCAAGAGAAAATGTCAAAATAGCTCGGTCGGTAATCGGGCGGCCCCAAAACAGACGGCCGTTGTTCGCGTCACGATCATTTACACATTTATTTTTTTTACTTTTTTTTTCGATTCCAGATCATTGATTTCTTTATATAATTTTTTGTCGATTTGTTATTTTGTTATTTTTTTCCCTTTTTTTTAAAGTTCTTTCTATTGTGAAAAACATCACTTCATATTTTCTTATTATTATGTCGGTAAGAGCGAAAAATATGCATATTTCATTACTCAGTAATTTGTATCTAAATGTAATTTCCAAAATACACGATTTACCAAAAAAAAAACAAACCTTCCTCCGGGTACTATAATATTAATTAAATATAAACAGTATTGTAGAAGTAATATATACAATAAGAAATAATATGTATAAAATCAAAAAATGCTTATTAAAAAATATAATATATAAAAATTTGTGTAGGTTAGAAATCAAAACCTGAACAGCAAATTTTTTCCTAGACCACTTAAGGATGAGGCATTGCATGAGAAGCAGAAGTGCAGCTTGGCTAAAATGCGCCGTAATATTAAGATTAGAACAGTCGGACGTAATAAATACTAAGGATATTTCTAGTCCACGTCAGATTACAATGACAGTGTTAAAGTACTTCGCTTCAGATATTTGAAACACTTGGTGTGTTTCTAAATAATAACGTAAGATAGATTCCAATTTATGGAAATTCACTACGGGTAAGACGGAACTTAGGGGTGTTTAAACGTCTGGTGACTATAAGTTTAATGGAGTTATTTTAATTCGAGTAAAACACTACTTTAAAGATTGTAGCCATTGTTTTTATCAACCAAAATGTATGTGGTAGGTATGTGCCAGTCGGAATAAGTTTATCTCTTAATCCTAACATGCTGCATGCATAATATCCACAGTTCGAAAATTTTCGAAGGTTTATTTCCTGTCGCTTTAAAAGCAACAGAACTTTTGTAATATTTGAACCGATAGAAAAAATGCTAAGCAGTATTACTAACTAGGTCTTCTGTAACGTTAAAGACAGCATCCACGAAAGGAGCTTTGACCTTGCTCAGTGTCAAATCTGTTTACAGATACATATTAACCACAGTTTTAGATTCTTACACTGTATACATCTAAAGGAAAAACATTGGTACACTATCGTGGGCTTTGCAGATATTCTTAATCTGTTTAACACGGAAAGCCTCTCCCCGGCCATATAGATTCAGTTATCTGGGAGTCAATATTTGAACGATTGTTATCTCGCACACCTGATCGTGAGAACGAACCAAAGACACACACTCCGTTCGGAAATACTAAACATCAAAACGCCAAACTGCCAAAATGATACGAACTCGTCGAGTTCTTTAATTGCCCTCATCCAGCTTTATCTCCGCTTAGAAGTTATTTCGGAGATTATATTTGACATGTTTTTCATGTATACATTAGTACGCGTAGCTTTTCCAGTTTCCATGGGTTTGATTTACAACATTAATCGGCCTTCGTATCGCTAATGGCGGTTAATGTTAATGGATAATAAACTTATGGCGGATCTTAAAACATGTCAATTTCTGACTTGGAATACGTAGCATTATTATGTCCAACAACTATTGCAGATAGGAAGAAAAAAAATTTAAAACATTTTCAATAATTGAAGTAGGGCGAAATAAATAACAGAAAGGAAATTAAGAAAAACCAAGGGCAGCATAATGATTGAACTAAGAGCAGGTCGCGATACGGTTAAGGTGATATGAGGAAAAATTACATTGGCATTGAAGAAAATGGATGCGACTGAAGAAGTATGTTCATTTAGCAACCAAGGTCTAAGAAACGAACTATATATTAAATAAAAACGGATCTTAACGCTCAAGCAATAGAGTTGCTAACAGTGAGAGATCGACGGGTGGCAATAAATGGTCACGAAGCGACGGTGCCGATAGAATACTAGGTCGGTAAAGGTACATCGCGGTTGACAATAACTAATTCTGGTATTGACTTCGCGTCTCTACTACAACTGAACGCACTTAGCAAGCGCGGCAGATACGAGCCGTGTGTAAACACAGCCTAAATACACAGATGTGTTGTGGCCACATTCCATCGACTGCCTAGGATAATAACTAGATTCTAACAAGTCCAGCAATCATATCACAAAAGTGATATATAGCGATAATTGCTTTGACATGTTTAAAATAAGCTAAGCCATAGACGTGTAAAGAGAACATTCTCTTCTTCGTACAAAAAAAAATATAACAGAAACATTTGTACGAGATTGAGATTCTTCTTGACACCTGATCCTATAGCCTGGACACACTTACATTGACCAATGTCTAATGCAAATTCGTCTCGCGACACACATCCCACATGTTCGATAATAACGAAATTGTCATTGCATAAGATCGGCGACCCAACCAAAAAACGCAGGGTAACTACAAATTTGTGCATAGCATTATATAATGTATAGTTTTAATTTACGTATTACATATATTAGAATTAAATTAAATTTTAAATTTTTTTTTTTAAATGTTTTAGGAGACATTTTTTTTATAACGTTCTCTAGTCCTAAACTAAGCAACACTACTATGGGTACTAGATAACTGATAAACATATTTTAACATACTTTTCTTTTTTTGTAAATAAATACATATTATACATATATGTATAAACACTTAGACACTAGAAAAACACTATGTTCATCACAAAATATTCTTCCTGTAGTTTGGATCAAACCCACACCCTCTGGCGCAGGAGGCAGGTACACTACCCACTACGCCATTCGGGTCGTCAAGAATTAAATTTTAATCTAAAAGCAATTTAGAATCTTTAAACTAGGTGTTATCAGAACACTGCGGTAATATATTACATAGATATTATGTAATAGATACATAAATATTTACAAGAATGTTAATGTCAGTTGCTGATTGACGTCGACAACAATGGAAACGTGCAAGGACCGGTAACGAATTGAGGCAGTAGGTACTACTGGGCTATATAGCGTGACCGGCAACTGGCTTCCAATAGCCCACAATGTTTTACAGTCTCGATCTGCAAGTATTAATAAGTCTTAATCTGACAGGCGGATAGTTAATTTGACGGCATACCAGCATGTCTAGGATATAATTAGGGAATCGTTTACCCTCGAATACAATGAATAGAAAAAGCAAAATAGAATTTTCAGTTAATATGGTTTAGAGTCAACCGAGATGACTCACCATCTTCCTCGCCTCGGCCAAAGCAAGTTAAAACGTGTTGACGATTTTAGACATTTGTTTACAAAATAAATATCCTTTAAAAATCTATGCACAAATTTAAAAACGTAAATTTCAACAGTCTTTATTTGGCTCAATGCCAGATATTATGAATATCGATAAATCAAATCATTTTTGTAATCATGACGAACTAACTGAGAGAGTAATAATATAATAAGTCACAGATTTCACCAAATATTTGCTTCTGTATGAAGAATCTTTTTCATGTCCATACAACGGAGTATTAAATCAGTTACAACAACACCCAGCGAAATCATTTTACAAATCAGAAAGTTATCTAAATTTAACTATTTTTGCAAGAAGAAAAATTACAAAAGAATTATAAAAATGTCTATGAACGATTTAACTCAAAAAGGTCTCTAAAAATATCGGCTCGAGGATTACTTAATGTTTATTAAACAGTGGGTTTTTATGACGAAAGAGGTTTCCGCAATTTCATCTTACCTTAAATGAATGCCGCCCACAATCGGCACTTACACTTTCTCCCATCAATATTTTTCTATAAAAGCGTAAATAATTCACGTAGCTGTTGTATTAAAGATGTCGAGAAAGTGATTGCCGAAAGCTATTTAAAATTTCGACATTTTTGTTCGGGTGGATTTAAAAGTACGCGTCCCCATCAATGCGACTGCCTGCTTAAAAATATTCATGTCATATTGCAACTTCTGTCTACTTACTATCAATAATAGAAAATCATAAAAGACTTAAATAATTAATAAATAATGACAGTCAATTAAGCGATGACTAGTCAGTAGTGGATGCTCCAGACGAAAGTGTATCAACCAGATTGACGACATTCTGAGAAATGACAGTCTAAATAGCAATCACCCCTGACGACTGCGTTGAATCGCCTGTCTAGAGGTCGCAATGAGGTCAAAGGGGAAATGACTGAAACATTTGATTTAAATTATGCGCGATTAACATGATCGATCAAAAATTGAAGCATATTTGACATGGAACACGTTTAAGTAGTCGAAATATAGGGGGCTTAAAAACGAAACAAACGCGACAAATATTCGTAAAATATATTTTTACGGTATACAGTATTAGCGTATATCCGTTAAATCATTCCGTAAGATTCTTGAATTTAAAAAGGAAAGAAGGCAACCGGGGATGTAGGAAAAAAAGAAAAGAGCCTGTTATGGACGCAAACGTTCAGGCAATAAGAATAGGGATTTCATCTAGGGAAAA